TCACCCTTCGAATCCATTCAAACTCCATTCAAACTCCAGTCAATCCTCTCCCCAACGTCAAAAACCCCATTTTTTTTCTTTTTTTTTTTTTTTCTCTTTTTCTTCATTCATTTTTCATTCAGAAAGATTATTTCATTCATTTTCCCAAAAGATTTACTCGATCTTTTTGTTTTAAGCCGATTTATTCAACCTTTGTTTCTTTTCTTTGAGAATTTGTCGACTTTCAACTGTCTACAACCTTTCAATCGACGCATTTCCATTTCAAAGAGACTTTTCCAAAGTATTCGATCGATTTTTCTGCAGATAAAAAGCGCTCCTTTTCAAAAATCGAAGTCTTTTCATTGTGAAAAGCTTTCATATCTAAAACCCAAAACTAATTCAATTCTCTTTGGCTTTTCTTGGAACAAATGGCTAAAATAAACGCTGCCAATAGATTCTACGACTACGAAAACCCAAAGGCACAAATTTTTAACATTAAATTTCATTTGGGAATCATTTACAGAACAAAAAATCACTTTGTGAGTGAGTGGGGAGAGGTTCTTTATGCGATCTCGTAATCGCTCGCCTTCTGGCATACGCTCCCGATAGATAGGTGTTCCCTTTTGGAATTTGAAAGGGGAAGGGATGTTGAACGGCCTTCATTCCCGCTGGCCCGCATGCCAGGTCGCAAGCGAGCACGAGGCCGCACAAAGAACAGATTCCCAGTTACTCACACGGCGTTTTTTGTTGTCTAAATAATTCCCAAATGTTATTTAATGTTAAAAATTTGTGCATTGGGGCCCTTTGTGCGGCTGCGTAATCGCTCGCAAGCTGGCATACAACCCAGGCATAAGGTTCTTCCCTTTTTCAATTTTGGGGGTAATTCAACCGCACCCAGCACGATTTCCCCATCCCACGTAGACCTCAAATCCCCCAGAATCCATCTCAGGTCAAATTCCTTGCCTCAATCTGCAAAAGAATTGATGGATCTCCTTTCATTCCCGATCCTTCCCCCTCTTCCCGATTTTTCCCTTTCTTCACCCCGCAATAATGAAATTTATGCAAAAATGATTAGCGTCCCACTCCTTTTTTTCCCCTTTTAGATCAGATTTTCCTTTCGGAGACCTTTTCAGGAAAAAAAGTGAATCGCCTCACTCACACATCCATCAAAAAGTCACGGGGTTGTTTACTTAAGCTTTTTCGAATATTTAAGGCTTTTGGATTTTCGAGATCGATATGGTGATTTTAGAGTTAGGATTGAGAAGCATCTCTTTATTAATTCGGTTCAACTTTTAGGCAACTTCTTATTGTCTTTAAGAAAAAGCAGCGCTTAGCAGTTTTGGCACAATTTCTCATCGGTTTAATTGCCCAAATCTCATCGTTTTAGCTACAAACTAGTCGATTTAATTACCTAAGTCATCAAAAAAAAGCCACCGTTCGTTGTGCGTTCCTTTCTCCCAAAAAAGTATCGTCTGGCATACTGCCAGTTGTTGTAAAGTCCTCCGGTTTATTTATCGTTTTTTTCTTTTATTCATTATTCGCACAGTCAGAGACTTTTAAAGACTAAAGGAATAAAAGAAAAAAAATAACGGTAAATAAACCGGAGGACTTTACAACAACTGGCAGTATGCCAGACGATACTTTTTTGGGAGAAAAGAACGCACATCCAACCGGTGGGCTTTTTTTGATGACTTAGGTAATTAAATCGACTAGTTTGTGATTTAAAAGTTCAAATTAGATTTATTATTTTAAAGCTAAGCAAAAGGTAATAAGGACTTGGTTAGTTGATTTTTGTGGTTTTTCTTCACAAGTTATAAGGGAAACCCGATCCTCAGGACCAACAAAACTGAAAAAAGAGAAAGCAGACTTCTTTCAAAAAATCTTAAACATAATAAACTCGCCAAAACTTTTGCCATATTCATTTTATAAATGCAAAGAATGTAAATGCAAAGAACTAAGCAAAGATCAAGTCTTTTTTATTTCAATTTCAATTTCATTTCAATTTCATTTAAATTTCAATTTCATTTCAATTTCAATTCAATTTCAATTTCAATTGAAAGTTTCAATATTTTTGAAATTCCTGCGCACCACTTGAATCCTTTTGCTGATTTTCTACTGTTGTGAAATAACGGTAAATAAACCGGAGGACTTTACAACAACTGGCAGTATGCCAGACAATACTTTTTTACTGTTGCTTGTTTCTGAAAGCTGTTTGCTTTCAGAGTTGGCTTTAAAGTTGTGTATTCAAAAATGAGTCAGTATTTTTCAATTTGAATTTGAATCCTTTGAACATTCAGCCAAAAACACTCGAAATTGTAGCCGGGGGACAGTTAAAGAGTCGCCTAATGTAGACAAAAGTTGCAAGAATCTAACTTGCCTTCTAGTTACTCATTTCTTTCATCTCTTTCATCTCTTTCATCTCTTTCATCTCTTCCAGTTTTCATTATTGTTGTGTAAAATCGAGAGATTTCACCAAATCTGAGATCTGGTCATGACCAGGTGATATTTCCCGTCGAATTAGCCGATCTCTCCTTGTCTTCCATCAATTCCCCGAAAATTTCCTTCAAAAATCACACGTTTTCAATTAAATTCTACAATTTTTCCATAATATTTTGCTTACACATTTTATACATGATTCTATACATAGTTTTGTTTTCTTTTTGATTGGCATTGGCATTGGCAAGAACTGGGTTCATTGCTTTGACCAGCTTTGTCCGGCTTTGACCGACTTTGACTAGCTTTGACCAGCTTTGTCCGGCTTTGACCAGCTTTGTCCGGCTTTGACCAGCTTTGACCAACTGGTCATCGTTGTGAACTCTGAAACTAGAGTTCAAGTCTAGTCTAGCAGATTGCGAATGTTTACGTACCTTTCGACCAAAAAACCGAATCATTTTTACCGAAAATTGAATAGAGTACTCGATTTGCAAACCCTCGATCGAAATCCCCACATAAATCCCTGTGTTGAAATGAATATTTCCATAGAATGAAAATATTCATTTCCCTTCTTTCTCCCCCTTCTTCCCAACCGATTTTTCTTCCCAATTTCCTGTGCTTTCCGCACTCTTCCAATTTCCCCCTTTCCCCCTCCATTTTTTTCGGGTATTCGTGTGTGTGAAATTAATTTCTTCTGCATTCCCTCCATCCATCTACAGCTTTTCGTTCAGCTTCTTTTTTTTCTGAAACGACGACATTCTTTTTGCGTGGGATTCTCCTTCAAAATATCTCTTTCTTTTACTCTTTCTTTTCTTTACTCTTTCCCCTCCCCCCACCTGTCACTTTCAGATCTCTACCTCCTTTTTTCCATTTTCTTCTCTTTACCAATTCAATGTTTTATTAACATTTAGAAGATTTATTTGTTTTTAAGCTTAACCTAGCATAGATGGATATTCTAGGGCTTTTAAGTCAAGCAAAGCTAAGCTTGATCCTTGACTGATCATAGCTTGATCATAGCTTGATCCTTGCTTGATCTGACTCATCTTAATTGATTATAGCTTGATCCTTGCTTGATCTGGCTCATCTTAATTGATCATAGCTTGATCCTGGCTTGATCTGGCTCGTCTTAATTGATCATAGGTTGATTCTGGCTTGATCTGGCTCATCTTAATTGATCATAGCTTGATCCTTGCTTGATCTGGCTCATCTTACTTGATCCCAGATTTTCTTTAAAACAACCTTACTATCATTAAATCCATTTAAAAACTATTGAGCAAATCGTCTTTGAGATTTAAAGTCCCTTACAAGCATACAAATTCCTTTAAAACCCCATGATCTTTTCTCTAACAAATTGAGATCAAAGTCTCATAGGCAAAGATCAAAAAGACCGAAAAACCTAGGCAATTAAACTATCACAGACTATATTCTGACCCAATTTCGTAGTTTGATTCTTTCAATTTCGTAAACCACAGTCTTTTTCGAGTTTAATCTTTTATTCTTTTCTTTGTTTTTCCTTTTTTTTTCTTTTTTTCTTTTATTTTTTTGTTTTTTCACATATTCGAAATTGCAATTTTCCTTTTTTTCGGTAAGTTCAAACTAATCTGCAAAACTTGATTTTTGAGGGGCAAGAAGAGGCTGCAAATTAGTGAGGAAAAAAAAGGGGAAGAGATGTTGTAAATTTGTTCCGGAATCTCTCGGAATTTCACCGAATCGCTTTTAGGAAGTCTGATTAGAGAGGAAAACATGCGGACTTTGACTCTTGGGGAAATCTCGGGAAAATTTACCCTCGAGTTTTGTATCTTTGGCTTTATCTAAAGTTTACGATAGAATTATTGAATAAAAAACACTGGTAGGCTTCTCAAATGCTGATATTTCGGTTTAGTTACGCAGATTTAGTTGAAGCTGAAAGGCTGAAGCTGAAGCTGAAAGGCTGAAGCTGAAGCTGAAAGGCTGAAGCTGAAAGGCTGAAGCTGAAAGGCTGAAGCTGAAAGGCTGAAGCTGAAAGGCTGAAGCTGAAAGGCTGAAGTTATGAAAGCTATTGTTTTGGTTATGAAAGCTATTGTTATGAAAGCTATTGTTTTGACATTTGACGATAAGTAATAGATCAATGAGTTTGCTTTATCAAAAGCTAGAAAAGCTTTAGATAAGCTAAACATTGTTCATTTAACAAATCAGCTATGAAAGTCTTTGTTAGATTTAAAGTAAAGACGGATTTGTAAAGAAAAACCTTGTGAAACCTTTTGTACATACCAAAACTTGTGATAAGATTCAGAAGACGCCAAAAAAATGAAAAGCACATGCTTGTTCACGAGATGTCGTATTTGAGAAATATGATTTAAAAACGGGATAGAGAGAAAGAGAAAGAGAGAGAGAGAGAAAGAGAAAGAGAATTCCGGGTGATCGTGATTAGATAAGCCTTTCTTCGCCTTTCTTTGCCTTTCTTAGCCTTTCTTTTCACCAATTCATTCAAAAATTTGAAATCATTTGAGAAAAAAAACTATAAATTCTCTCTAATCTGTGAAATAATCAAGAAATTTTCGCGGAAAATCGATAATTTTAATCCCGATTGGAGGAGAAATTATCTAGAAATGTTACGGACACCGAAAGTCACGTTGAAGTAAGTTTAAGATGAGTTTTACTATCAAAATCGTCTTGATTTTCTTCTTGATAAGATAAGATAAGATATTTAAGGATATCAATGTGAAATATTTTGTTTAATTACTATTAGGTTGGTAAAAAAGAAATGCGCGTTTTCGTTAAAAGTTTATTTTATTATAAAAACGACTCTCGTGTTTTTGGTCTTCAAAGCTTTCGTCGCCGTCTCGGAAGCGCTGGAACCATCGTTTACACTGACTTTCGGATAGAGCATCTTCGTCAAACACTTGAGATAGAGCGCGATGAGCTTCAGCAGCCGATTTGCCTTGCTTACATTCATACCACCAGCAGGCCCACAAGCGAAATTTTTGGTCCGACATTTTCTAAACACTCTTTCTTGTAAAAAAACAAAGTAAACATAGAAAAATTATATATTAAACGATGCGCAAGAACACGCTCTTTCCAATAGAATAAACTATTTAAAAAAATCTTTTACTGTGAATAAAATACAAATCAACAAACACGACGCTCATTTCTTTTTTACCAACCTAATAGTACCCGTTCATTTACTCAGTCATTTTGAGTATTCATTGATAGAATTGATTGATAGAATCGATTGATTGATAGGAAATGATACTTGAATGTTTTTGAAGTTGGAATTAGAAGCTCAGAAAGTCTTCAATTGAATAGTGAACTAATTGAAAGGCTTAAATGAACTGGTAGCTGAACTGGTTCTGTTAAATTGTTAGTCAAACTTTAATCACTGTTAGTCAGCTTTCAAAGCTTTTCTTTTATCAGCCAATCACCAGATTCAACTTGTTTTTCCCCTCAAGAAACTCTTTGGAATGTTTCCTATTTTATATTGAGCTTGTATCTATTTTCTATCTGTATCTGTTTTCTATTTTGTATCTATTTTCTATTTTCCCGTCATCCCTTTTGCCCCATGTTCTGTAGTATTCACAAAAATATTCTCATGATGACACTTTTTTTCCTTAAAAACCCGCAAAAAGCTCGAAAATTCTCGTGGATATGTAGCCGATTTCATGAGATTTTCGAGAGATTTCACCAAAATAATGCTTTCTAAAATAATTCTTTCCAAAATAATGCTTTCCAAAACAATTTTACAAATTTTTCGATTCATTTACACAAAAGCTTTTGATTGAATAGCTTAAGTCAATATAAAAAAAAGCTAAATTTCCTATTTAAAGTTTGATTTGTATCAAGCTTTTGGGGGTGGGACAAAAGCGACCTTTTTTTGCGCACCTGGACATTTGCGCACCGTTTTTTCCGCACTTAGCCCATTAGCGCACCTTTTTTACGCGTTTTAAAAGTCTAATGAAAAAAAAGTTTTTTCGTTCAGGTTTTAATACAAATTTAAAAGCAGAGCCTCGCCAGGATGCCAAGCCACGCCCCCTCACATCAAAATCTGGAGGTGGGACATATGCGACCTTTTTTTGCTGGAAAAGGCCTTAGGAAAGGTCGTAGAGCTTCGAAAATGTTTCCATACTAGGGAATCGTATGCGTAGATTCCGAATTTCGACAAATCAAAGCAAATCAGACCTCGCTGACACGTTAAATTTGAGCTAAAAGGCAAAAACTACGCAACTTAACGCTTTTCCGCAGTTTTTGCTTTTTAGCCCAAATCTGACGTGTCTGCGAGGTGTGATTTGTCGAAATTCTGAATCTACCCATACGATTCTCTAGCATGGAAACATTTTCGAAGCTCTACGGCCTTGCCTAAGGCCTTTTCCAGCAAAAAAAGTCACATTTGTCCCAGCCCCCAAGCTTTTCATCTTTTCGTCTATTAAGAAAGTCTTTTCATTCCTTTTCGTTCCTTTTTTTTACTTTCTGTTTAAAACCAGCAAACACCAATTAAACTACGATTTTTTTCATTAGAAATACCGGATTATCTTCCTATAAAATAACATTAAAACGGGTTCTGCTTGATCAAAGTTTTTAAACGAATATTTTTAAGAATATTTTAAGAATTTTTAAGAATATTTTAAGAATATAGAGAATAAGAACACCGGTATTTAGAAACTTTGGAGTTTTTTTTTCAAACGCCCACACTCCTTTCTCTTGTGACTTCAGGGTTTTATAAGGTTTTTGATATGAAGAGGAATTTTAACAAGCGATTTAGATTGTTAAAATTCCTCTTCATATCAAAAACCTTATTTCCTTAAAAAAGCATTTCTTTTTTAATGATTTCCCCTTCATTTTCCCCGTTTCTTTTGCTGATTTTGCATTGTTTGTTTAGCAGCTTCAGCCACACACATATTTTCGACCTTTTTGACTTTTTGACGCCAGAAAATTTCGCTTTTATGTGAGCAGAAAAAGCCGAAAAACTCCATTTTGATAAATTTCAGTGCAATCATTTCTTTCATCGATTTCTTTTAAAGAAATTCTGTTCTAAGCCGCATTTTTTGCTTGAAAACCATCATTTCCAACATCTGGAAGCGATCATTTCATTTCATTCATCATTTCCAAAAGCCATCTTCCAAAATCATTTCCACAAATTATCCATTTTCCGTTTCTCTTCCATTTTCTCCAAATTTCGACACTTGATTTGCTTTTTGAGATGACAAAAAGGCACTACTGAACCAGATTTTTTTTAATCAATCTGGTTGGAGCGTTAGAAACTACAAAATCAGACTACAAACGCTTGTAGAAATGCGTAGAATGACTATTTTAAAAAAATGTTTTTACCAAAAAATCGAGCTAAGTTTGGGCTTTCAAATGACGCCAAGAATGACACCAATTCATCATTTCTGATCCATTTCTTATTTCTAACAGTCTCGTAGGACTATAAGCCTGAAAAAAAACGTTGGTTTTCAGTGCAGAGATGATGGATTAGCTTGATCTTGGTGCCATTTGAAAGCTTAGCCTTGCTTTAAAAGCCTTGCTTGAAAGCTTTGAAAGCCATTTGAAAGCCCAAACTTAGCTCGATTTTTTGATAAAAACAGTTTTGAAAAATAGCCATTCTACGCATTTCTATAAGCGTTTGTGGTCTTAGCTTGTAGATTGTAGCACCAACGTCTAATCTAGTTTTGTATAAAGCTAGCAAATGCATACTAAATGCATCCTCAAAGGTCTTTTATTCTTTGAGAATCGAATTGAATCTAGAGCTGAATCTAGAGCTGAAACGGAATCAGAGTACTTTGTGCTGAATGCTCTAAATTCTCTGAATGCTCATTCTTTCTGGTGTATTCTCTGTGCAGCAATGCTATTAGACCAGAACCAGAGCTGAGCCAGGTCCAGTTCCAAACAAATCATGATCTTCTGACCTGGCTCAATAAATCCTACAGTTTTTCGTAAAAGTCAAGAATTCCAGGAACCAGGAAAAACGTGTTTTCAGCTTTTAAGCTTAAAGTATCTTTATTTAGGTTCATATAAGTTAATTGAACTTAAAAACTTGAGAATTTATGTTCGATTGAGTCTCTAATTGAATGAGTAACCTCAAAATGCACTAATGAAAGCTAATTGGAAAAGAAATTCCGTAACTTTTTCCAATCTTCTGTGTTTTTTTGGTTTTTCAAAGGTTTTTCATCGTTTTTTGATCTTTTCTAGGAGAGATTTCCGTTAGAAATTCAATGAATTCAATGAATTCTACCTTTTTTCCTTCTCTTTTCATCTTTTCATTGCTATTTTCTCACACCGGAGTTCTCTCTTTTTTTGTTTTTCATGAAAATCCTTCCACTCTTCAGAATATCTTTCTTAATTAGGTTCTTTTTCACATTTGGTTCGGATCCTGAGAAAAAAGACCACGTTTTATTCTCTGTGTATCAAGTTATTGTAGTTAGTAACTGTTTGTAGTGATCTCAACTCTCGACTCTTACTCTCCAATCTTCCACAACTCTTAGATTCATTTTGCTAGCACCTCCAGAATCGCCAGCGTTTTCACGATCACTCAAGAGTTAAATGGAATAAAATTTTCATAGTATTTACCATTGCCAGAGCCTTTTCTTATTTGATTCCAAGCATTTGAAATTCCAAGCTCTTTCAAGAACCGCCAGAGTGCCAGAGTACTTGAATGACCAAATGAAAGACCAGAGTCTCCCCATTCATCCTTCCCGACCTCAATTCCATTCTCCAATCTCTAATCCTCTGGAAAGGATTGTTAGTTGGCTAGTGAATTTCTCGACAATTCTTTCTGTACATCCAATGAAAAATCAATAATTCGTGACCAATAATTGGAAGAAATAGGTGACCAAATTAAAGGACTCTCGAGTATCGGGCGAATGTAGATAATTTCAAGAACCACCAGGACCAAATGAAAGACCAGAGTCTCCTCTTTTCCCCATTCATCCATCCAATTCCATTCTCCAATCTCTAATCCTCTAATTCTTTCCTTAAAAAGTCTTTGATTCTATGTAAAAGTTAATGATTTTCTCTGTTACATAGCTATTGATTGCTCTCGTTTTGAGAGAAATGAGATTTTTGTTAAATTGATGAAATGATTTTATTGAGATTTTATTGAGATTTCATTGAGATTTCATTAAGATTTCAATAAGACTTCAATAAGACTTCAATAAGACTTCAATAAGACTTCAATAAGACTTCAATAAGCCATTGAGCCATTCTTACAAGTTTACAAGCTTACAAGCTATCCACAGAAGATTGAAATCGAATGCTCATCTAATTTCGCTCTTTTCAGAGAATGGTCAAGCACCGGCGGGGTTTGGTGTGATCGGATACCAGAAGAGCCCGACAGTGACTACGAGACAGATAGTAGAAGGTTGGATTCAATTGAAAGTCGACTCACTACCTGATGCCAATTATTGTCATGTTCTCCTTATGAACAGCTTGCAGATCGGGTTCTCTGATTGGTTCTTCTGTGACCTCGTTGCACCATCGCTACACAGCTTCCGAAGCGGGCGAGATGAGCGGCCTCACTTTCCAACTTCAAACTGGTCTCAATCGTAAATCCCTTACTGTAAGTGATATATTTATACAAATTATAGATGTAACTGTTAGATTTAACTGTTAGATGAACTGTTAGTGAGATTGGTTTTCAAAATGAATCGTTTCCTTGCAGGTTGAGGGTCCAGAGATCTCTCTACGTGATCTCCGAAATGCGGCTTTCAGATTTCTCGTTGAAACGGTGAGGAAATGTTGTAGATAGATTGTAGTGTACTTTGTGCTAAAGAACGCAATCTTCCTAGCACACTAGAACTATCAATCAATCAATATTTTAGTACCCAGAAGACTCGCCCGGTGAATCGCTTCATGATCAGATTATGCTTTACAAGCACGATCTTCGATCAATCAATATTCTTCAATTGATCACCACTTCTGCTGATATTAATGAAGGAACGCTGGTCGAAGTTGTCATCGGTTGTGAGTTTCTTTTTTGCAATCAAAAAACACTCAGAACTAGTGCTTACCCTATTTTCTCTAATAGCAGTGCACCCTGAGCGTTTCCTAAATTCCTTAAAATCTCGCAAACCGCTTATCAGAACCTATCGATGTGGGGTTGGAAAATGTAGCTGACGATGAGATCTAGTAGATAATTTGAGCATTGAGCTTCTGCAAAAGCTTGGAAACTCTAAAATAGTCACCAACTCGGCTCGCCGAGGTGCACTACTATTAGAGAAAATACGGTATTCATTAGTAACAGAACTAAATTTGTGCTATGAAGTCTGAGAAGTTGAAGAACTTTTGGAGTGACGAAAATTCCGAAACGAAACAAAACAAAAACGATTTTGAAATTGCGTTAACGAGTCAAAAGACAAGTAAAAAGAAAGATGAGATCAATCAGAATTCAAATAACAAAATCAATAGCTACAAAATGAATCTAGCCATCAATAATAGATTTATCCCTGCATAGAAAATGAGAAAAGACATCAGCTTGATGTTTTATTAACTTTTAAATTAACACAGTATGTACCCCAGTACACTTGATAGAACAATTAGATATTCTTTTTTTCATCTTAATCCAGAAACTTTGACATCAAGTGTATTATTGGCTGGATCTATGTATCTATCTATTATATATGTCGTAGCCGCTCACGAAATTCAGCCGCTAACGAATGAGGGTATTCCCGGGCATCCAATCAAAAAGTCACCCACATAAAAAATGTTCATAATACATATATTTTATAATAAATTTTTGAAATTAGCTCATTTGGCTCAGTAGAAAATTTTTTTTGAGCCCCCAAAGTTTAGGTTCAAAAATGCCCTGAAATGGCTATAAAAAATTTTCCACTCAGCCAAAAAACTTGCCTAATAGCTCATTTTGTAGCCAATTTGATGTAGTTTCTTAAAGTAAAGCCATCTAAAACAATTTTTCGTTGAAAGTAGGAGAAAGAGGGCGAGGAACAAATTCAGGGCAATTCTCAAATGTGAAAACAGCGACCGAGTTCAACTGAAGTCGTTCCTCGCCCTCTTTCTCCTAGCTTTGAAAAACAAATGTTCAATGTAGCTTTACTTTAAGAAACTACATCAAATTGGCTACAAAATGAGCTATTAGGCAAGTTTTTTGGCTGAGTGGAAAATTTTTTATAGCCATTTCAGGGCATTTTTGAACCTAAACTTTGGGGGCTCAAAAAAAATTTTCTACTGAACCAAATGAGCTAATTTCAAAAATTTATTATAAAATATATGTATTATGAACATTTTTTATGTGGGTGACTTTTTGATTGGATGCCCGGGAATACCCTCATTCGTTAGCGGCTGAATTTCGTAAGCGGCTACGACATATATAAAAGAGCTGTGTCTGTCTGTCTGTCTGTCTTTGATGCTGTATTAGATGATTTATTAGAATCGTTCTAGAATCGTAAATGCTTTATTAGAATCGTGCTTTATCGTTCAATTTTTCAACCCCTCAAAATCGACTCAAAAAGAAGGTAAAGAGGGGCCAAATGAATCCAATTTCGAATTTGTTAAAAACTATTTAACTAAAACTAAAACTAAAACTAAAACTAAAACTATTTTAAACGATGACCCTTTGTCTAAAACGTACGAAAAAGAAAAGAGACGTTTAAAAGTGTTTCTTGACCCTCACGTGGACACTAATTTCCGCAAATTTTCAGCCTCAATCTTTTTTGACGAAAATGAGTATGGTGTCATTGTAAATATGAGAAAATCATTCAATTTTTCTCAAAATTCCATTCAAAACCCGGGACAAATTGGGTAATTGAACGCGAGAAAATTCGGGAATTATAAAGCCCAGTGAGTGGGTTGCTTTTCTGATTATTGTGCAATAATAACCCAAAATTAGATTGCTATTATTATTAGCTATTTTTATTAGCTATTATTATTAGCCTAAAGTTAGACAACATCTTTTTATCATCTACAAATCAAAAAAAAGTCTCTGAAGAAAGAAACCAAAATCACTGGCGAGGTGTTCTATGTGGGGACCCGTAATCGCTCGTCATCTGGCATATAGCCCTAGCATAAGGGACTTCGTTTTTGACCAAAAAAATAGTGGAGACAATCGAAGCGAGCTGCAGTTTTTGTCATCTTTTAATATGGAATCATTGTTAAACCAGCTGGGAAGGTTATTATTGACGGCGGGCTCTTGCAGCCAGATATTTTGGCGGCCGATGCCTTGTCACAGTAGCGCAGTAAGGAGGCGCGTTGCTCTTTGACCCGCAGGAGGCGGGCTCGAGCACCCGATGCCACTAATCCCCTTTAATTTTTTATTGTAACTTGCACAACTAGATACCAATGGAGAGACACTACTCCTTTATAGTAGACTATTGATGAATCATTAATAAAATAAATCCAATTATTGACTTTAATCATTTCTACATGAAAGCTTATCAAAAAATTCGATTATAACACTAAAGACCATTTTGGTTTTAGTGATCGGTCCCAATTCGGACTCTTTCTCCAATCATAATTCAAAACCCCCGTAAGCAAACGTCAAGATTTGTAGTCAATCCATAAATCCCAATACCTCAATTCATTCCTTTTTTTCCATAAACTCATTCATACGTAAACAACAACTTTTTCCGCTTTAATTCAAATAATCCGGATGAATCAAAACTCGAAGAAATACGATAAAATTGGGGTTTTTCTTATGTAAAAAATGCCCACGTGTTTCCTCTAACTAATCTCCGACATTTCTTTTGAGACAAATTCTCGTTGTAAACATCTTTTTCTCAAATAAATCTCGGGGATTTTCGTTTGTGGGATTTCTGAGCTTTCGAAAAGGTGTCAACAGATTATTTTAAAAGAGAAAATCCCGGGTAGGATAATCCGCAAATGACGCAAATCTCTCTAAGGAGATTTTTGAGAGAAGCGGAGGCGCACATCGACTACAAAATGAAATGATTAAGATGTGGATTTGAAATTGAAGAAAATGAAGAAAATGAATGAAATGGATAAGTGAATAAAGACAGATTTAGAAGGGAAACATCAACAAATGATGTAGGATGGGCATTTGAATTCCAGTGAATAGCAAGTGGCTTCAATCGAGTAATATCACTAACAACAGTAGTTGTAGAGTTTTGAAACGATCCTGATTGTAGATTATAGACTAAAATATCATGAATACGGTACTTTTTGTCATTCTTTGGATGGTTTCGGAGCTCTAGAGTAGGGTTAAGTCAGTCATTGATCACTATCACTGACCTGTCATTGATCACTGACCTGTCAGGCTTTGATTTCCCTTCTTTCTTCATACTTTCTTCAATTCTTCTCTAGAAAAACCTTTTTCAGAAAAAAAAAAGATTATAAATGAGATGAAATATCAACAGATCATGTGGGGGAAAAGGGCCATAAATGGGAGAAGAGAAGCACGGTGTAGAGAAGAGGTGAGGTGAGGAGAGGAGGGGAGAGAGGGGTGTGGCCGGGACATCACCTCCCGGTGAGGATCTCTCCAAACAAGCTCCCCCCTCAATCAAAAGAAAGAAACCCTCACACAGGAATAGTAATCTCTCCCCTTTTTTTCGAAATTCTTCTTAACTCTACAATAATTGCTATGCTTTCTGAGCTTTAAATGTCCGTCAAACGATCCGGCACACCGCCTCACAAATGTATTTCGTTTGAGAGTCCACCTGATTGCTCGCGAAAGACGATCATTGTCAGAGGTACGGTAATTGGTGACAGGATACGGTAGCTTGAGTAGTTAGAGTAGCTTGAGCTCTTGGCTCAGTTTTTAGCTCAGCTTGTTGCTCAGGTTATAGCTCAGGTTATAGCTCAGCTTATTGCTCAGATTGTTGCTCAGCTTATTGCTCAGCTTCTTGCTCAGCTTATTGCTCAGCTTCTTGCTCAGCTTCTTGCTCAGCTTATTGCTCAGCTTATAGCTTAGCTTGTTGCTCAGCTTATTGCTCAGCTTATTGCTTTTAGCTTATTGATGATCGATAGCTGAAGCATCTTGAATCGAATTGTTTTGGGAATTAAAATAACTGGAATTCAAAGCTTTCCACATAACTTTTTCAATTTGGAATTGGTTAGATTTGTTTCATTTTGATCAATTTTGAGCTTTACACTTACAAAATAGCTATTCTCCAATATTTCCAGTCAAATCCATTCAAAAAAACACCTTGTAGCGTATTGATTTTCTGTCCCAAAAGAGTCCAAGAACGGAAAAATTAAAAGGACTTTTTTTTTTGATAAACTACAAGCAGAATAGCTTTGTTTGTAGCTAAAAAATTGGAGAAAAAGCTATAAGAATAGTAATAGATTTGAGCTTTGCTTATATAACGATTTGCTGAATAGTTTTGCTTTGCTAAAGGTAACTTTAGCAAATCTAAATAGAAAATGAAACTGAACACCTAGGATTGTCTAGTGAATCAAAATTAGCTGCCCGATTGCCGTTTTGGCAGCAACAACAGCATAGCAGCAACACACTAAACTAAGCAACAGCCATTGCCATTCACACTAAATTATCGGAGATCTGAAGTGTCCCAACGTACTCCAAGATCCCAACGTACTCCAAGATCCCAACGTACTCCAAGTCCAACTTTCTCCAGGTTTTCTTTTAAAGCAACGCACCTTTTCTCGATCGATCGATTTTTTTTCACTCTTCATAATCGTTATTTTGAAGAGTACAAGAGAAGAAGCCTCAAAATGCCGATAGATCCCTCCTCAGCCTCAGCCTCATCTCCCCCCGCTTCCCCCATTGCCCACCTCGGGATTATTCCGCAGATTAGTCGCCATCAATTTTCACTCTCCATTTTTCTGTCCTCTCTTTTTCCTTTACCGAAAAAGACTCAGCTTTCTGAGGAGATACAAGACATTGAATTGAAGAGAAGAGAATTGAAGAGAAGAGAATTGAAGAGAAGAGAATTGAAGAGAAGAGAATTGAAGAGAAGAGAATTGAAGAGAAGAGAATTGAAGAGAAGAGAATTGAAGAGAAGAGAATTGAAGAGAAGAGAATTGAAGAGAAGAGAATTGAAGAGAAGAGAATTGAAGAGAAGAGAATTGAAGAGAAGAGAATTAAAGAGAAGATTTCCCCTTCCACCGAATCCATTCCTCTCGGATATCTATATTTAGCGATTCTGAGAGATTTTCAATAGCAAAAATTTGGAATTAAGAGTTTAAAAGGGGTTTGGATAAGTCTTGCGGTTGTTCTGGATGAAATTCGAAAGTATTAGTGATAGGGATTCAGCGGCCGGTTCAATTCAATTTCAAACAAGAGCTCAAAAGTAAACGACAAAAGGCTAAGGTTGTACAAAAAGATATGATCGATAAATTCACTGAATCAATCAGCCACTTTATCTCCAGCTAATCAATGAGCTCAACTAGTTCTTTGAAGCTTCCAAATCCACTCTGCCACCCACTCAAAATTCCCCTCAAAAACACACCCCATGACGTCCCTTAATTGAGGTCTGTAGAAAAAAACATGCAAACTTTTTCAGACCAATCTTTTCGCAATTTCTTTCTGGATGTTCTGATGACCCAACCTCATTTCTTTCTCACAATTTTCTTCTCCAAATTATGCCCCAAGGCGATTCATTCAAAACTCTTACTTGGAATTTTTTCTCAATCCTAGAGGAATAATAATTCGGCTAATTTTGACGATTTTTTTTTGTTTTTAAATGAAAAGAAGAGAAGAAGAAAAGAAGAAAAAAAAGAAAGGAAAGAAAAGAAAGAAAGAAGAGAAAGAAGAGAAAGAAGAGAAGAAGAAGAATAGAAAGAAGAGAAGAAGAAAAGAAAGAAAAGAAAAGGATAACAAGTATTTTTGATGTTTTGGTCGAATGTGAAAGAGAGAAATGAGCCAAGTCTGGTCAAGAATTGACTGATATACAGTACTGGACAATGAAATATTATATTTGAAAAATGATCGCCACTTTTGCGCGTCTGTAACTTCCTTGTCTTTGAGTTCAAACTATTAGTGTTATACATTTTCTGAAAGCTCTTTTCAAGGGCTACACAATGGTAATATTGATATTTAGAAATACGGTAAAGACAAGGGAGTTACAGACGTGCGAAAGTGATGATCTTTTTTCACATATGATATTTCATTGTCCAGTAGTGTAGGTTCTAGATTAATTTGAAGAGAAAAGGGGAAGAAGTGTTCATAAGATATGGGAGCTTATTAGACAAAAAGCTAGAAAAATCTCTAGAAATCAACTAGAAATAAAATTTGCATTGAATCAATAGCTAGAATACGTGGAGCTTTAATTTTTTTTAAGCTCTCTCACCTCAAAACCGTGAAATTTCCATGAACCCATGCGGGAATGGGACATTGAAATGAAAGATATATCAAGTTTCAAAAGATTCAAAAGAATTTACAGATTTAAAGTTTAATAGACTTAGAATTGAACTCGAAAATGGAATAAAATGCACAAAAAAAGCTCTTTTTTTGAGTAAATCAAAGCAAAGCAAAGCAAAAAAGCCCAAAAAGCACCAAAAATTGGACCGAAAAACAGGGGGTTAGTCAAAACAGCGCCATAATAGAAAACGTTCAAAGCAGCGCCGTCAAATTTCTCACAGTCCAAAAAACCAAGCCGGTTCAAGTTTTATATCAAAAAATTCCTTGCGTTCTTGGCTACATGATGGGTGAAACAGTTTTTAAAAAAAGTTAATATTTCATAGATAAAAAGCGCACTCAAAATGGGTCTCTAAAGATATTCAGTTGACCAACTGAGTTTCACTCGACCCACATTTTGAGTGCGCTTTTTATCTATGCAATATTAACTTTTTTTAAAAACTGTTTCACCCATCATGTAGCCAAGAACGCAAGGAATTTTTTGATATAAAACTTGAACCGGCTTGGTTTTTTGGACTGTGAGAAATTTGACGGCGCTGCTTTGAACGTTTTCTATTATGGCGCTGTTTTGACTACCCCCCGGTAAAAACAACTGTAACTCTAGGTTTTCCTGGATTTTGATAACAAAAGAGCTTTAGATCAATAGCAATATAATAAATAATCCATTATAATCCTTTCGAAGCATTGATTGATTCATTTAAGCTTGTCCCCATCATGAACGCCTCGTCGTCCATCCACACACTCTCTACGTTCACTCCTACAAAACCCCGACTTTCTGTGATTTCTGCGGAGAGCTTCTTTTCGGTTTGGTGAAACAAGGACTCAAGTGTCAAGGTAGAAAAATGAGTTTTCTTAAAATCTTAAAAGATTTATAGGATGTGGCCTCAACTATCACAAGCGATGTGCATCGAAGATCCCGAATAATTGCAATGGATCGAGACAGAGAAGACCGTCGGCTATCCCGCTTTCCCCATCCAATTCACATGGATTCAGACCGGTTTGTACTTTTTCGCTTGAGATTTGCGACCTTTCTCCGAGAAAATTCGAAAATCCTGGATTGGTGCTTTAAAGCGTGGTAAAACTACCGTACCCCTCCCCTCCAAAGCGCGAAATCATTCTCTCATTCTTGTTCTTCATTTTATTTCATTCTTTTTATGTATTTCTGGGAGTGGGACAAATGCGACCTTTTTTTGCGCACCCGGACATTTGCGCACCTTTTTTTCCGCACCTTGCCCATTAGCGCACCTTTTTTCGCGTTTTAAAAAAGCTCTAAAAGTTAATATTAACCAATTTCTATTCCAAATGTTGTTTTTCTAGGTAATTTGAGGGTGTCGAATTCAAATTTTGACATATCAGAGCTTGTGGAACCAATTTGAAAGACAAAACGGCTAGATCAAATTACAGAAAATTGTCGATTTTTCTCTTTGTATAACTCCGTCCGTTTGTTTCCACAAGCTCTGATATGCCAAAATTTCGATTCTACGCCCTAAAATTACCTAGAAAAACAACTTTTGGAATAGAAATTGGTTAATATTAGCTTTTAGAGCTTTTTTAAAACGCGAAAAAAGGTGCGCTAATGGGCTAAGTGCGGAAAAAAAGGTGCGCAAATGTCCGGGTGCGGAAAAAAAAGGTCGCATTTGTCCCACTCCCGAAATCATTCTCTCATTCTTTTTATGTATTTCTGGTTTTTTTTCGTATTCTTTATAATGGTGGAACAATTTTTACAAAAAAAAGAGAAAAAATGGGTACATTCAAAACGAAAAAGCTTCTTTGTTAGCATCATTGAATTCTTTGTTAACATCTTCTTTGTTAACATCATTGAAGCGCAAATTTTAATCATTTTACAAAAGTTACAAAAGTAGTTCGTATAAACTAACATCTATATCTTTATTTTTGTCTGAAAATCCTTTAAACTTTAATTATTTTAACACTGCAAGATGGTTTTATAAAACAAAAAAAAATGAAACTTTGAGAATTCTTTGCAGAAAATGGAGAAACATCTTTCATTACAGTTTAATGAATAAATCATTATTGTTTCAGAATATTTACTGAAAGACAATCAGAATAGACAGTGTGAGGAGGCTTAAATGCAGAAATATGCAAAATAGCGAAATATGCTTAGTGAAGAAATCCGCCAAAAAAAAATTAAATGAAGAAAAAGAATGAAAGAATGAATTTGCGCGCTTTCCCGCCAAATTATGAGGGATACGGTAGTTTTACCACGCTTTAAAGTGCCAACCCAGAAAGCTCGCAAGTGAGAAATCTATAGCCATTTTACGACAGCTTTACATCATCGCTGCTAGAGTAAAACAGTGGACGTGCGAAAATGCGTACGAATCAGTTTTGAAGAGAGAAAAAGGCTGAAGAAGCTGAAGAAATGTGTAATTGGCAGAAAAATATGATTAGTTTAGACAAAGTTCATGAAATTCTCAATTTCCAGTCAATTGGTGGCACTTCAATGCTCGATGCATTGGATACAGGCCGACCGTCGCCGTCACTCACACCCGATATTTATGTGACACCGGATAATGATTGCGGGGATCCTGTGGGTGGAAATGTGAGTGCAAATGTTAAGCTTTAAGGCTTAGGCTTAGGGTTAGGCTTGGGCTTAGGCTTAGGCTTAGGGTTAGGCTCAGGCTCAGGCTTGGGCTCAGGCTTGGGCTTAGGCTTAGGAAAGAAACTGAGCTTAACTGATTCGAGTCTTGCTCAACGATCAACCTTCTAGTCTATAATTTGTGCTGTGATAAACGCTCGCTATCTGGCACACTCCCATTTTAGAGGAGTTTCTAGAGGAAAAGTAAAGAACTGAGTGTGCCAGAGAGTGTTTACAAGAGAGCACAAAGTACGACTCGAGTTTAGCTAGGTACTGGCTTGTTTGAGCCTTAAAATCTACCAGAATTAGACTAGATTTAAAGTTATTTTAAATTCTGTACTTGGAGTTAGACTTAAATCTATACTTAGACTTATTTCTAATCTTTACTTAGCTTTAATTCATTACCATTCCTTTAGCCTCAATATCTTTGCCCGTACACTGGTCAGGCAAGTTTCTAGAGAAAAAAAAACCGAATCTTCTTTTTTGGAACGGGTAGTTCACTATGTTTTCACTTGAAAAACTATTTTTTTTTAAATGAATTTGTTAAATTAACAAGCACTAGAAGCACGTCTAGTTGAGAAGAAAAGTTTTCAAAGAGAGTGCAAAAATTTTAGCTATTGCAAATGCCGAGAAAAGATCGGAGTTGCTCGTGGTCTGGAAGGCCGTTGTGGATGGAAGTCGCTGAAGCAACCAGGGTCAAGGTGAAACCAAACTTTTCGAATATTATAAAGATAATGTTCAGATTTTCTTATTTTTAAATTTTCAGGTCCCTCACACATTCCAAGTGCACAGCTATAAACGACCAACCGTTTGCCAGTACTGCAAAAAGTTGCTTCGAGGATTGCTTCGACAGGGGATACAGTGCAGGGGTAGGACAGAATTTTTGTTACTTATTATTTGATAAATCAAGTCTATTAGATATTAGATATTAGACATTAGACATTAGACATTTAAAAAAAAAAAAAAATACCGACTGGGGCTACCAGTGGTGAATTTATCGCATACACGAAATATATCAATCACATTACAACGACATCACACATTACTAGGCATATCTTAACTAACCCACGCAGACAGACGGCCCCTAACCCTAAGCCAATGGGGAACTAAATAGCTTTTTGGTGGTGAAGGGAAGAGACGAGAAGGAGGGCTTGTCACTTAAAGAACTGGGGCCACAACCACAGATGCCCCCATAAAACCTCCAACCCGAAGGGAAAGGAAACCGAAGGGGGTGACCATGTCGCATGTGGGGTTCGAACCCTCGACCTTCCGATTAAGATAAAAGACACTTAACCAGTCAGCCACACGTGCTATACTTAACCAGTCAGCCACACGTGCTATGCTACATTAGAGATAATACTTGTCTAAAGAAGAACAGGCTACCAATGGGCGCTAACAAGGAAAATAATGTAAAAAGTCAATAAATTTATTGGCCTTTTACATCGTTATATTGCAAATAGATAGAAAGAGTTTTTTAAAGAAATGAAAAAGCACAGAGTGGGACTCGTACCCGTGGGCACAGGGCACAACCAGTCTGATAGACTAGCAGACTAACCACTAGACCACAAAGGCACCTGGCGGGGGGACGTGTAACGGCATCATAAGGAGCTTGACTCGCATTGTAAGAGTTGCTTGACTTCCATTGTAGAGAGGCGATTAGCTTGACTCACCTCTTACAATCCTCTCTTGTAAGGCTAACGATAAGGTATGGATAGTCGAGGTAATAAAGAATCAATCTGAGCATCAATCAATCAAGCAATCCTCATTTTTTTGAAAATTTCTGACCTACACTGCAAGAATGTTCAATTTTAACTTCACTAATGCTTAACCGAACAATCCTATTCTTCATTTCAGATTGCAAATACAATTGTCACAAGAAATGCTCAGAATTGGTTCCCCGGGATTGTCCCGGTCCATCAGCGAACACTCAACCATTTTTCTTGGGAACACAAGATGATCGTGAGTTTTCCTTTTCAATTACTTTTCAATCTTTTTGTTATCGATTTTTAAAGAAGAAACAATCTCCATTTTGTCCTTTTCATGTTTTCACGACACTCCGAAAGAAATCTCGGATTTTATGTTGAGAATTCAATGTTTTTTTTTTTCTTTCCAACTCTCTACCCAATTCCACTGAAACATTAAAATCTCTTTCTTTTACCTGAAATTCAAGAATTTGTGTTTAAAATTGTCTACAGCCTCGCACAACTTTGGTGGATCAATGGAAAGTCTGAGAATGAGCTCGGTTCCTTACGACGATCAGTCATCCGGTAAAATGATAAAATGGGAAATGATGGAAAGGATTTAAAGAAAGATTTCGATATGAAATCAATCTTCGATCGTTTCTTGAATGGCTTGAATGGCTCGTGAATGGATTGGGGAATTTGTTGAGATTCGAATGTTGATCAAGCGTTTTGCGACGTTACACTGATCGCTTTTCAATCAGCATATGCAAATTCTTAATGCTAAATGAATAGTAACTATTGTACAATAGTAGCTATTGTACAGTAGTAGCTTTTGTACAGTAGTAGCTATTGCACAGTACCCTTGACTACAGTAGTCAATCTCTGTTCAATGTTCAAAATAGCTTTTCAATTACTAGGAATGCGATCCTCGATCCTCCAATCCATTCGAGCCCTTCTCCCTTCCCTTCTATCCTCATTTTCTCCTCTGTTTGATGTTTTCTAAAGTTTTTATTTGCTTATAAAGATGAGTTTGGGCACAAAACCCTATTTTTTCCGCAAAACCCTATTTTTTTTTCTTTGAGTTGGATACGCCGATCCTTCTATAGGTTGGGAATGGTCGGCACCGGGATTTGAACCCGCAGCCTCTTGTTTACCGGACGCTTACCGGACAAACGCTCTACCAATACCGGACAAACGCTCTACCAATGAACTATAGCGACACATATCCCATTATTCCCAGGACAGAGCCTGGGAAAGCCTTCAGCCTTTTGAAAGCCTGAACTCATTTTTATCATCCTTTGTTGCTAACTGCCTTTCTGCTAAACGACTTAAGGACTACTGTATCCAATTTGTTTTGAAAAGAGCTTTGAGGAGAACTTAACTTTGAGAAGATCTTTGAGAAGATCTTTGAGAAGAACTTTGAGAAGAACAAGAACATATAGAAATCTTTTGAAACCTTTAAAGAAACCTTTAAAGAATCTCTCAATTCTTTAAAGGATACGGTAGTCTTCAAATCAATTAAGAGTTGCACTTTGCACTCAAATCTATGAAAGCACATCCTTTCTGGCATACTGAATGCTTTCATGATTCAAGAAGCGCTTGCCAGAAAGAATGGTTTCAGTTTCCAATTTTGAGCACAAAGTACATCCGACTCAAGTTTTCCCATTCACAGCTTCTTCTAAAATCACGCTTCTCTCAAATTTTCATTAGATTTTTGCACATTTCCACTAATTTTTCAAAACAAAACTCATTTTTGTTGACTTTCTTTTTGTACTTTTTGTACTTTTTGTACTTTTCTACAAAAAAAGTCCAGTTTTTTTTGCAATTTTCTCCACAAAATTGCAAAATTTGTCCGTCCATCACCTCTATTACTGTTTTTTTTCTTTGCTGACAAATAGATTTTACATTTAGATTTGAGATTTGAGCTTTAAAAGCTTAGAATTTACAATAAGCCTGATCTCAAATCTTATCGCGATACTAAAAAGCACAAATTCTAAACGTTTCGCACACACAAATAGCTAACAAATGGGAAAGGAAAAGGTTCTTTTGGAGGTACTTTTATCTCAAAAAACTGACACCCTTTCTTAGCTGATACTGACATCATAGCTCAATTCAAAATTGAGTTCACTGGAAGCGGTGCAAGCATTTTTTTTTGAGCACAAAGTACACTCCAATGAACAAGTCCGACCATCACCTTCAAGTTTCTTTTGATTTGAAATGCCAGCTTAGCAACCTCTCCAGGTTTAACCACTAGGTTTAACCAAATAGAGCTGAAAAGGAGAATGGCTTGAGAGATGAAAAGAAAACGTTCATCGCTTTTATCGCAATCTTTTACCGCAGCCAAGCCTTGAGCCATTCTCCGACATCCGAATACTAATCAAAGTTTTCTTTTCTAGGTACTCATGATGAAAGTGCTGATGAAAGCTCGGGATTATTGCGACACAAAAAGGCCACCAACACTCCATCAGCACCGTTGGCCGGGCAGAATGAGAAAGGAACACAGATCACTTTCAATAATGGAGCTGCGAGTCCAGAAGCTGACGAGGGAGCGCTCAATGAGAGTCAGGTAGAAATTGATAATAAATAGAAGGAATAAAAGGAATAGCAAAGAAAGATTTCCGTGGGGATTGAACCCTTGATTGAACCCTTTTTTCCTTTCCAATCAGATACTCTAACCACTGAGCCATTCAATAACTGCTCGCCAGTAGAATGAGGGAATACAAGGGGAAGAGAAAGGGAAAGGAAAATACAATGGGGAAGAGAAAGGAAGAAAGAGATAATCTTGTGTTTTTTGTGCTTACCAAAACGCATACCGTCTGGGGCACTAGTTATTGTATGAAAGTTTTTACAAAGAACATAACTTTCAGAATATCCCATTGATGCGTATTGTGATGTCAAAGAAGCAGACGAAGAGAAAGAACAATAAATTGATTAAAGAAGGATGGATTGTTCATTACACAGATCAACAGAATAATGTGAGTTTGAAAATTTGAAAAGAAAAGAACTCCATAAATTCAGCGCAAAAAGCACTACTGGCGATTGGATACGAAATCGATCATTATGTATCAAGATGAGACATCCACAAGATATTATAAGGTTTGTGAATGAAAGTAGGATTCGATTTCAAAAGCTAAACGATCAACGAACTCGTGAAACCTCATCTAAAAGACGAATACAATAGTTAAGAGAGCTATTGCTTAGTTAAGAGAACTATTGTACTTGTAGCTAAACTTGTAGCTTTGTAAACATTTTCATATCTTAGGAAATCCCGTTGAATGAGGTCTTGGAGTTGAAGTCAGTTGAGCATGAGAGTCTTTCTCGAAAAACCACTCATTTCTGCGAGATTCGCACTCAGGGATGCACCTACTTTTTGGGTGAGTTTTTTCAAATATTAAATATATTTGCGGGATTTGTGTGGTGAGACAAGCTTTAAAGACTTTTTGTTGTCTTTGTTGTCTTTGTTTTGTCTTTTTCTTCAACTTCAACTTCAAAATCGATCGCTGAACATGAGACGGGTAAGTCGAGTCTAGTCTAGGAGTCGGCTCGAGCTCGAGAAGGCCTAAAACTTGGCCCAGAGATTATATTATCATTAGCTTTTTATATCATTGTATAGAGGACATTTCAAGCTTTCAAATGAGACCAAATAGAGCTTAATTGGAAAAACGAGTCCAAGAAAAATCGAGCCAACTCTGAGGAGAGCAACTCTGTGTTGCTCGAGCCAACTCTGAGCAAAGCAACTCTGTGTTGCTCGAGCCAACTCTGAGCAAAGCAACTCTGTGTTGCTCGAGCCAACTCTGAGCAAAGCAACTCTGTGTTGCTCGAGCCAACTCTGAGCAAAGCAACTCTAGGAAAAGTGTACCAATGGATCAAAAATCAAATTACTGTTGTTAAAGATCTAACAATCTGAACTAAAACTTTACAAAACCTATTTTCTATTCGCTTTCAAATCTCATAAGGCGCTTCTATAGTATACTATATGGGTAGTCGATAACCTATAGTCTACTATAGGCTATCGACTATTTGGGGTACTTTTCAAGGTAAAAAAAGGAAGAAAGTTATGGCTGTTTGTTCCTCATTTTGTAGCTTGTAGGTGCCCATGTCTAGTTCACATGTTCGAATTTGTACCAAAGTTCGCTTAAGTTCTAGATTCAGTCTGCGGTTCTCCTGCTTGTCCTTTCTTTAAATAGGGATATTTAAATTCAAGTTCTTCGATCACTCAATGTACTGTTCACCATTGCAAAAGCATTAGTCGTGCAAAAGCACCATAGCAAAAGCACTAGTCCCCCCCTCCCAAATCTCTTTTCTTTTAGATGACTTTTTGGGATTTGTGCCAAAGACAGTGGCGATCCCCTTGATTCCTTTCATTCCACACAAAATATCGAAGAGGGGGGAAAATCGCCCGATATCGGAGCTTTCGATCACTTTGACTGGGATTTTCCCCTTCTCTCTTTTCACCTCAAAATTTTCCCCCTTTTTTCCCCTTTTTTTTCTCTCAAATTTCTTTTCAAACCATTTTTGCTTTCTATTCAGCAAAAAGTTTTTTTTTTTGCATGGGTTGAACCATTAGATTGAAGTGTTTTAGGGTTAAACCATTACGTTGAAAGCTTTTATGGTAGAAAGCTAATAGAAATCATTTGTAAGCTGATTTTAAAATGCTTTAGCTCAGTTAAAATCAATTTTTAACATCCCCAGCTTTGCACAAAATGGTAAACTTGTGAAAAAAAGACAACTACATCAACAATCAAGGCTTCAGGTGTTTTTGAATCTTGAAATCTAACTTTACAAGTGCTGAAATCTAACTTTAACTTTACAAGTACTGAAATCTAACTTTACAAGTGTTAAAGCCATTGTTTTTTCTGATTTTTCTGATTTTGAACTCTTTTCTAATCACTTTTCATTCATTTTATGCAATCGCACGAAAATGAACGGAATTTCAAAGTGATTCTTCAATCATTCCATCTTCACTCATTCCATCTTCACTCATTCCATCTTCAATCATTCCATCTTCAATCATTCCATCCCCTTTCCCCTTTCCACTCTTTTCCACTGAATGAATGATCGATTATCGTCTTTTTTTATTCATTTCATTCAGTCATCCTTCTCTTTTCATCAATTTCATCAATCAATTCATCTATTTTTTGAATTTTTTCTTTCCAAACCAGTTTGTGGGACTTTTATTTAGCAAAATTTGATTGATATTTTCTGTTTCGTTTCGTTATCACGCTTTTCTGTGTCAATTTTCATTTAAAGGATCCAAAGGTGAGACGGACTGTCGCTTTTAATCGCTTACGTTTTGAAGTTAATTTTGAATCAAAAGCTAGCATCTGATTGCTTAATGTTCTTTTGATTTTGTGCTTTTGTATAGGATTTCAGATCATTCAGCATTAGAGTCCAACATTGTGCCAAAGCTCTAGAAGCCAAAGCTATAGAAGCCAAAGCTATAGAAGCCAAAGCTATAGAAGCCAAAGCTATAGAAGCCAAAGCTATAGAAGCCAAAGCTATAGAAGCCAAAGCTATAGAAACCAAAGCTATAGAAACCAAAGCTATAGAAACCCAGCTTCAGAAAGTGTCTGGACTCTACAATCCTACAATCCATAGTGATTTGCTCAATGATCACTATTGATACAAAATCTTGTGCGCTACATTCCTGTTGTGATATGTAAGCTAGGCGAATTCATACAGGCAGCCAAGGTCTAATTGTCAGCACAATAAACTAAGCAATCTCTCTTCTCCACCCTCAGCATCCCATCCAACATCTCTTGACTTTTCCCTCAAAAATCAACCTTGACTGCTCCTCATTTCTTGCCAAATCTTTACCCTAAACGCTCAAGGCCAAAAGCCAGAAAACCCTCGTTTTCCTCGTTTTGGAATGGTTTTTGCTTGTGACATTGGGGAAAAGCTCTGAACCGGTTTCATTCTATTTCGTTTCTTTCTCTTTTCCTAACTCAAAGATTTCCTCTTTTTTCTAGTATAGGCAGATTTTCCTTTTTTGAGATCAAGTTTTGCCATTTTCAGCTGATTCAGCATTTTCAGTTGAGCTCGTTTTGGCAGCTTGGCGCTTTCGTGAGATTTGTTGGTTTAGTTGGTTCCTCTCCTTTAGTTGATTCCTCTCCTTTAGTTGGTTAACTCTAAAGTTAACCTCTAGAGTTAAACATTCCTTTAGTTGATTAACTTGGCTCAATTACCCAATTTTAGTGCACCAACCAGGTTTATTTGTCTAAGCAATTAAAAAGCTTGGTGCAGTTATTCAAGTACCCAAGCATATCCTGGCCAAAGAATATCGACTATCAAAAACTATCGACTTGCTCTCACCTTCACCCCTGATCTCATATTGACTCGATGATCTCTTCACAATGCAATTGGAGAATCATAGAAATAAATTGAAAAAGTGAGAGAAAGCCTATTGAAAGTGAGAGAAAATCGAGAGCAATCCAACTAACCCTAACAATGGATGTAGTATTGAAGAGAATGGAAAAGGATGAGAGTCGAGGAGAACAGCTCCGACCTTTTCCTCTTTTCCTCTTCAATCTCCTTTCACCCCTTTTCTACTCTCGTACCGTTCCCGATTTCCCTTTTCAAATGTAAATTTGTTTGGTTTGAACGAGGATCTAAATGGTGTCTCCTTTTTCTGCACAAGTTCTTCTAAAGTTTAACTAAAAATTCTTTTAACGCCATATTGAGAATTGGCATTTTATTGTAACCGTTTTCTCTTCTAGAAAAAGAAAATCTATTTTTTGTCTCAATAGATAAAAGATAGAGCACCAAAAAATTTGGTGTGTAGCCAAATTTTTCGTGAAATTCATTCAGCTAATTTCTTCGTAGAGGTTTTTATAGATTTTTTGCGAAAAACACGTGTTTTTGCTTGTAAGTGAACCGAAATTGACTTAAAAAGATGAAAATTGAACAAAAAAAAACACTTTTTATTTAGCGCAAACCATAGGTGAATCGGTGAATTTCTTATTTTTAAACAGAAATATGAAAAAGAACGAAAAAACTTATTCACCAACATAATATATTTAGTTCTTTCTCATCAAAACTTTCAATTTCTTTTCTTTTCTTCATAATCATGCTGACCCGACTTATTCGGATTCTTAGAGATTTGATTAGATGAAAGCTACTAAATGACGGAATGGAATTGTTAAAGCTTTGCTGCTGCTGCTTTGCTGAATAGTTGAAAACACTCTTTGGAAATTCATTAGATTTCAATTTGGAACTTCATTTTAGACTTCATAGTTTTCATTTTATTGTAGCTAGTCCCTTGTTTTGGAGCTTTAGTACAGTTAGATGAAACTCAGCAGTAAGCATAGCATAGTAAGGATATAGCATAATAGTACAGCTTATAGTTAGCATACCCCCCCCTTAGACGGCTAGTAGCACAGCCGACGATCAGTGCTCACCTCATTGCTGTAATCTAGTTGATACATTAGTAAAGTCCAGTACATTGCCCACTTCTTTTGCAGTTCAGCACCATTTTTTCTTGCTTTTTCCAGAGTAATCGATAGCGCTGATCACGAAAATCATATTTTTAACTTAGATTTATGAACAAAAACGCAAGTTCCCGATTTTTGAAAAAGTCTAATGAAAAAAAATTTCTTTCGTCCAGCTTTTAAAACAAATTTAAAAGCAGAGCCTCGCCAGGATGCCAAGCCACGCCCCCTCACATCAAAATTTGGGGTTGGGACAAATGCTACCTTTTTTTTTGCTGGAAAAGGCCTTAGGAAAGGTCGTAGAGCTTTCACTCTATCTATCGATTTAAAAAAGAAACATGGCTGTAAATCTGATAAATATGTTACAAGACATGGCTTTGCTTGAGCTAAGCGGTATTTTTCCTTTTCAAATGATCCCAATTCGTCACCCAACCACAGAAAAACAAAACAACTTTTTATTGTGAGCAATTAGAGACACTTTTCATCAAAGTGATTGGCTGAATTGGGAGAAAAATCGAATCTGCAGTGTATCACGTGAGAAAAAAGAACAAAAAAGAGTCTTCCCCTTGCTTTTTAAGATATCAGTCATTCACCTTTTCACCGCAAAAAAACAGTTAGACTCAAGGACTATTTTTTGGTCTTTTCCTTCTCTTTTCCCTAATTCGTTACACTATGATTTTTGCCTGGATGAAAAATTTTCTTTTCTAATCACTCGGTGATCAATTTTGTTAGGCTTGGCTTGTTGGCTTGTTGTTTGCAGTGGTCGATGATTGAAAATTGGATGATCCTCGCTTCTTGGGCATTCAGTATGAAGCTTTAATCGAAGCAGAGCCTCGCCAGGATGCCAAGCCACGCGCCCTCACATCAAAATCTGGGGGTGGGACAAATGCGACCTTTTTTTGCGCACCTGGACATTTGCGCACCTTTTTTTGCTGGAAAAGGCCTTA